TTGATAAAGCTGCTGCTGATATAGTTTCGGAAGAGATTATCCTCATGAATATCGAATATCCTCCATCAGATATTTTATTGTTTAATGCGGATACTGACATTCCGATACTGAATTACCTTAGTTGAAAATAATTAAATTAATTTTTTTTTTGCAATTTTAGGTTAAATGGCTATCCAGAAAAATTACATATCCGGCATTGCATGTTTTTCAGTTTCGCAAGGGCAGTAAAGAAACAGTTGCAACCAATTATATTTAAGATGTTTATCCAAATGCATTTTTGATTTGTCCAAAAGTGGTTTTTCAAGTTCAAATCCGGTAGTAATGATCTTTCCGATTCGTACCAGAAAGAACGTTAGATAATGACTTCTTAAGGGCAGAAGTCGAAGCAAATCATTAATTGTCAAACAGTCTTAACCAACCTTCGTTGATCATCCAAGAATATTTGCAACAGATTGGGAAATCACCATATGCAACTAATTGCTTCAACGGCACAATACAGAAGCGTTTTTTGATCGCTTGATAACCAGAGATGAAAAGTGGATTCTGTACGTTAATCCAAAACGCAAAAGATAGTGGCTCTATCCAAAAAGATTCGCCACGATGTACTACTAAGCCATGGTTACTCCTCCAAAAGGCATTTTTGTGTATATGGTAGAGTATTCCCGGTAGTGTTGCCCAAATACGAGATATGTAGTGTTGCCCAAGACGAGTCTTGTTCTTGCCTACCCAGTCTTGGTCTTGGTCTTGCGCTAGAGACTCGTAACATTCTTACAGTTAACTAGTATCCTATTACTTTAAAAAAAAAGTATTTATTGAAAAATATTACGATCTGTCTGAAAGGACATTTATAATAGTGTTCAGAGATAACATTCACACCCTCTGTACTATCAATAAAATAAATAATACAGAAAAAGAATATATATACAATAAAAAAGAATAAAATAACCTAAAAATAAAAAGATCTCATACATATTTATATACACTATTTACGATCTGGTGACAGAACTCTGAGCCAGACCGTCCCTCCAACTGTGGAAGAAAAAGCATGATTCCAGAAGATCCCTGCACTTCTGTCTCAACCGCATCACTGGAGCTAATCCCAGTGGAGATTGAGCAAGAGTGCTTTATCCACATACACTCATGTCGTGGGTGGAGAATCTGGCCATTGCCAGAACTCCAATATTTACAAACTATAAAAGGTCGCTAGACCACTGCCATTTTAAAATTCTTGAAGGATTATAGGAATGGGTGATGCTGGATAGAGACTGTACAAAAGGATTCGGATGATGAAATTAAATGAAATGAAAAAATAATTTTGTTCAGGGACTACTGTCCCCTAAGAATAATAACAGTGTTGCAATTGTATGAATCTTAGTCTGACATAATAAAAATACCAACTAATTTATTGTTAATTGTTATTTCAATTGTGCAATGGATTGAAATTAAACATTGTATAGATGCAAGTAATTTTACATGTTAGGGGAAGTTTGAATGTGGAGTAGGTGTTGGAAAAGGAGTTGTTTGTAGGCATTTGTGGACGAGGATTGACGCATGGAGGAAGGAAGTGAGTTCCATAAGGAAGCAGCACGAATGACGAAGGATTTGCTGAAGAAGGATTTTTTATGGGAGGGAATATATAAGTCTATAGGTTGAGACCTACTATTGAGAGAGTGGATAGAGGAGCGAAGAGTAAGGATTTCCAGGATGTAGGGAGGGTTTTTGGTTTTTAAGACTTGGAAAAGGAAAACACCAAGGAGGAATTATCGTCGGGAAGTAGGATAAAGCCAGTCAGAAGGTTGGAATGATTGGTATATTTGGAAATCATCGGTATATAGGTGGTAATTGGAGTGTTGAATGGCGTTAGGAAGGTCACTAAAAGGGTCGGGGAGGGTGATGAACCATGAGGAACACCTCGCGTTAATTGAAGGAATGATGATGGAGGTTTATTCGATTTTGTAACTGTCTGAGATCGATTGGATAAGAAGAATAGGAACCATTTTAGGAAGCTATTTGATATGGGTAGGCTTTGGAGTTTGGAAAGAAGGATCTCATGATTAATCGAATCAAACGCCTTGGAAAAGTCAAAAAGAATTAGGATGGAGATTTTCTGTTTATCTATGGCGGATTGGAGGTCTTGGGTAATCCTCAGCAAGGCGGACTGGGTGGAATACTGGGAACGGAAACCAGATTGTAAGGGATTGAGGAGATGGTTTTGCTCGAGAAAGCTGTTCAACTGAGAGTGAACTAATATTTCTAGAGGCTTGGATAGATTGGTTAGAATGGAGATGGGTCTGAAGTCAGAAGCTAATGAAGGGGTTGTAACGTTGTTCAGTGGACGGACTATGGCTCTTTTCCAGGATTAGGGAAAAATGGAATTTTGGAGAGAGAAATTATATATGTGTAGAAGTGCGGGTAGTAAAGCTGGAAGGCAGAGTTTAATAACTTTAACAGGTATTTGGTCAGGACCATAATCATTCTTTTTGGATTTAAGGGTGGCAGAGAGCAGGTCAGTAGGAGAGATATCGAGAAAGTAAAACTTATCAGGATCAAAGGAGATTTCGGTAATGGAAAAAGATGAGCGGTCAGATGGTGATGTGGATAGAAAATGGTTAGTAAAAAAAGAATTTAGCGTGTTGGGATCGATTGGATACTGTGCGCAATAGGTAAGGTTCTGGTGAAATTTGGAGAATTTTGCTGGGATAATGACTAGGACAAATGGGATATTAAGGTCATGGTGTAGGGTTTTGTTGTTCATATATAAAGGAGCACCGACTATTGTTCCGTGGAATTTGGATTGGATGGATCAGTTGCGTTTGATGTTAGAAAATTTTGCTGTTCCACAGTTGCTAGCAATGTATCGGAATAGGCAGGGATATCGGCGGTAAAGAGGATGTAAAGGACGGGATCTAATTCGCTAATATAGGAACACCAGTCTCAATTTTATAGCAATTTGAGAGTTCAGTGCCGCAGCGAACTCGGAAGGTACAATCTGAGAAGTTGGAGAGCACTTAGGAATAGGAGCTAGAGATAATTGGAGTAATAATATACTATGATCTGAGGATAGTTCGGCAAGACAGATAAGGGAATGATTGAGGGGACCTAAGCCAATGTGGATGATAATATCAAGGATATCGGGATTGCGGTTAGGATCTGTGGGCCAGTAGGTAGGTGAGTTAGGAGGAAGGATACTGAAACGTTCGGAATTGAGTGCAGATAACAATGTTCTGCCACGAGAATTCGTGGTTCTAGAGCCCCATTGATGATGTTTGGCGTTTAAATCTCCACCCAGGATTAATTGATGTCCTAAGGAGTTGAAAAGAGAACTGAACTGGATATCGGATATGGATCTATTAGTAGGGCAATATGCTGATGCGATGGTGACGGGAAAGCAGTAAGTTTTAATTACGATAGCGGTGGATTGTAGGAAATCTTGTGTCGGTAATGGGAGCTGGTGATGAGAAAGGGAGTGGTGTACAATAACATCAGTACCGGCATGTGCTTAACCGTCAGGATGGTCAGTACTCTAGGTTATGTATAGAGGTATTTGTAAATACTATTTTCTGGTTAGTCGTGTTTCCGTAATTAGTTCTACGTCGATGTTCTTGTACAGTAATAAAGCCGTTAGTTCTTCAACTTGATTTCTAACACCATTCGCATTCCAAAGGAGAATGGATATGGGTTTTGGGATGTGAGTCATTAAGGATTTTTTAAAGTAGGGATGAGATGAGATACGAGATTTGTGAGAAGTGATATGAGTGGAGTAACTAAGTGTATATTCGAGTCAACCGGATTTGAGGTTGGGGTTGATGTCGTTGTTGCAGCAGGGCTTGACAGTTATCGGTTGAGTTCTTACCTCTATGTAGCTGGGAAAATGATACACTATTGTTAACTATTCTAGAAAGCTTTCTCTCTCTTCTTGGTCTTCCTGCTTCATCTTGAATCCGGTTTTCCTGGTGTCTGGATTTGAGATTCTTGCAAATGTGACATCCTTGGTAGTTGGCCGGTTGTCCCTCCAGTGCACACATTGCAGGATCTTGAATCGGTTCGGTGCACTACACAGATTTGTTCTGTTCACTGCATTCCAGCTAACGCTGAAGATGGTGACAATGATGACTCTAGATCCACGGAAAATAAAGGTAATGGAACTTTATTTTTTACTCCAGGCTGCTCCTTATTCTCCTTCAGAACGTTGGTTACCTGACGTACTTTGAAACCAAGCGCCGCTAGTTCTTCTTTTATCACTTCAGTTGGGGTTGAGGAGTGTAAATTTCTGAATACCACTCGTAGCGATATCTCCTGTTTCAGCTGGTACGTGTGGAAATTTGCATTCGTTTCTAACAGGTACTTCACAATTTTTCGGTAGGCTTCTGCAGTATCAGGTGTTATTTTTGTGTCGTTAGTCCTGTTGAGGCAAGAATAACTGCCAGAGCAGATTTCATTCAGTTGGATGCAGAACAACTGGAAATGTTATATATTTTTCACAAATATCGGAGGAGGCCTTGGTACTGTGGGTATAGCTACAGACTATATTTACAGTTATAGTCTTACCTCATTACCTCTCGGTCATTTTGAAGCACCATAATCAATAGATTAAGAGAAAAGCATAAGTAAACATCTAAATACCTTACAAAATGTGGATTACAACTCAACAGAAACAAAACTGAAATGATCATTTTTGTAAAATGATGAAATATATTTTCCCCAAAGATAATCTTGAAACGGTAAAAAAATATATATTAATACAAAAACAAGATCCGAATATACAAACATAATTGAACTATACATATATTGTGCTTTAGACATCACCGAAGAATTGGCTGTATTTTATTTTATAGTCAAAATAGAGTTGGGTTATTTAATACTCATTTTTTACCAACAAATAAAATGTATTTTATAATTAATACATTATAAAAACAAAATTTACTGTATGAAGGTGTATTCTGAAGAAATTATTTTATAACTAAAAAAATATATGATATGGAATAATATCTTGAACTTACCATCAGTGCTAGTTTTATAGCTTCCCAAGTGATGCTGAGGAATTTGATCTAGTTTTTCTTTTAGGAATTTTGTTCTTTTGTTGCATAAGTTGAGCACTAAATAAAAAAAAAATATAGAGCGAACATTTCTTGTGACTGTTATAATTTCATAATTGTATATAATAATAATTGTATGTTATTACGCTGACAGGCAAAAACTTCCACCCACTTAATTTTTTCATGTTTTCATCAAAAAATATTTCTGCTTTGGATTGGTCTATTGTTTTTAATGAATAAATAGGTAATCTTTTTGTTTGTTTTCAATTAGGAATGTTAATATAGAGGACAATAACCCTTAATTCAATGAAATGATTCTAGATTCTAATGTTTACTTTCTATGGAATCAAAATGTTTTTCAGTATCATTAGTTCAGTGCCGTTTCTTGCAGCACATTTCTTAGTCTCCGGCTTTTAATTTTTTCAATATTAAGTTTAAAAATGCCTGTTAGTGCTGAGGATGTATGGACGTTCCATTAGATATGCAGCTAATGCCATCGGAGTTCCATATGAAACTTTACGAGACGCCATCAGGCTTTTGCTCGAGAACACAGCCATTGGACTATGGACGAATGGAGTGCTGTACTTTTTATAGATGAGTCAAGATTCGCTCTTCGATCTCCAGACGGGCGTGAATGGGTGTGGAGAAGAAGAAACGAAAGATATGCAGCCTGTAATTTTTACCAGAGCCAACCTTTCCAACGTGGTTTCTTAATGTTGTGGGCTGGAATTTCAATGGAGCGCCGCACAGAATTAGTTGTTGTTCGAGAAGGGTCTTTGACGGCCATTCGCTATGTAGATGAGATTTTGGAACCTCGTGTGTTGCCTATCCTCAACGAAATCGGTGATCGTTCTATTCTAATGCACGATAATGCACGCCCACATGTCGCCCGCATAGTGGAGACGTTCCTTCAACAGAACAATATTGAGGTTTTAGCCTGGCCAGCACGTTCTCCAGATTTGAACCCCATTGAGCATTTATGGGATAACATCGGAATACCAATAAGAGCGCGTGCAGCACTTCCCGATACACTGCAGGACCTTGAAAGTGCTCTTCGGGAGGAATGGGCTGTCCTCCAGTAAAGGGACATTTCCCGACTGGTGGGAAGTATGCCGAGTCGTCTTCAAGAAGTAGTGAAGGCAAGAGGAGGAGACACGCGCTACTAAACGATGATGTAAATAATTTCTTTAAAAATAATAATGGTTCGTTTTTCAATTTTTTTTTCTCTAATCTTTCTTACACAATCACATTTTGATTATTAAAGGTAAAAAAGATTATAAAATTCCATAAATACTAAGTATTATCTACAAATACCATGTATTATATACAAATACAACTTTTTTATAAGTGGTAGAAATATTTTTAGTTCAAAACATAAAAAAAATCAAGTGGGTGGAATTTTTTGCCTGTCAGTGTATTAAGCAAAATATATTATCTATAAGAAAATAATGTTATGCATTTATTCTTCATTTTAATGCCACAGAATTTTTCCGAATGTTCGAAAAATTTGTATTGAAGCATAAATATTGACTTCACCAAGTACTCAAGAAGTAATTGCTTATTACTACCATCAACCTGCTATGTATTAGACTCTCTTATAATAATTAATATTGCAAATAAGAATTAGGTCTTCATTAATATCAATCAAGGCACTGCTGGATGAGCAAATCAATACAAACATTCTAGAGTACCCCGTTTGGGTTAGATTCCCACCTGGGTCAGTTAATATTCATTTCCAGAGATTCAGTGAAATATTCCTGATATTAATAATCTGGCCAGGTGAGAGTAGCAACTTCTAGATAATATTAAAAGATCCACTTGCTGGGCTATATCCTACAATAATTATCAGTACCAGTAATTAATATTAATATTTCCTTTTCTTCAAAAAAGAACGTTGTGGTTTTCATTCATATCAAGATATTAAATTTCAAAAATTAAAATTAATCCGAGATGATTCTAAAGAGGAATAATTGTTGAGAATAAATAAAAAAAGTAGAAATTATAAGGTTTATAAAGGAAGGAGATGGTCCGTGGTTGCGGTCATGAATAGGCTAAATAGTGGTAAAACTATTTTATTGAAAGCCGACGTTTCGACCCGACTTTGCAGGTCTTCATCAGGGAGGTATGTTCATCTAGGAGTTTCATCTAGATGAACATACTTCCCTGATGAAGACCTGCAAAGTCGGGTCGAAACGTCGGCTTTCAATAAAATAGTTTTACCACTATTTAGCCTATTTATGACGCAACCCTGGACCATCTCCTTCCTTTAAAATGCAACGGTCAACTATTAAATATTCCATAAGGTTTATAAGTTTTATGGATAAGGTTTAATGGTTATAAGGTTTATCTTTCTATGGTTACCATCACTATTATTTTCAGCTGCACTTTTATTTCCTCCGTCTTGCGATTCTATAGATTTATCCGCCTTTAAAGATTTTGATTTTTCTGATAAAATCGATTTTTTAGATGAATCTTCTGATTTCTCTTTAGTGTCACTGTTTAGTATAATGACTGCAAACCAAGAAGTTATGTTACTTAATGTAAGTAAGGATATAATTATTGCAGATGTGCTAATCTTACTTAAAAATATAGGTAATACTGATTAATAAGAATATTTAGTATAAGCCACTAGCGGATCTAGAATTTAATTTTTTTTGGAGGGGGAGGGGGGCTTCAGCCCGAAAACTTTTTATTTCATAAAAATAATGATAATTATTTTGGAAAAAAAGAAAGAAACTAACTATCTATATGAAATGGTGTTTAAGTGATTCCTAAATTCCTTTAATGTAATTACAATACTTTAAGAGATAATTTTTGAATATTTTGTTCCGTCAAACATGGTAATATTTTACCATTTTAGGGGGGGGGGAATTTCAGCCCCAAAGCCCCCCCCCATCTGCCGTGATCCAAGCATTTTTGTTAATATTTTATAAATTTTATATTATAATATATTTTTTTGAACAATTTTTATAGTTAGTGATATCAATACAAATGAAGGGTTATATTTTAGTATGACCGATTAGTTTATTAAAAAAGCAAATAAACGAAGAATTTAGTTTCTTTTTGGAATTTAAAAAATTAAATTTAAAAAATACAGACAATTGAATAAAATCAGTGGGGAATGAGCCTCCCCCCTTCTGGATCTGATCACTGCCAGCATTCTCCTTTCCATTCCACCGTCTAAAATTCAAATGCAACAAATCTCACCAGTTTGTTAGCATCTTTCCTCACCTATTGCGAATCCCTAGTTACTCCACTCATATCACTCCTTAAAAATCTCGTATCTCACCTCATCCCTCCTTTAAAAAAAAATTAATGTCTCACACCCATGTCCATTCTCCTTAGGAATGCGAATGGTGTTAGAAATCACGTTGACGAACTAACAGCTTTACTACAAGACAAGAACATTGACGTAGCCCTAATTACAGAAACTCGACTGACCATAAAACAGCATTTAAAAATCCCACAGTATATAACATACCGTACTGACCATCCTGACGGTAAAGCACATGCCGGTACTGCTGTCATCGTACACCAATCCCTCTCCCATCACTTACTCCCATTACCTACTCAAGATTTCCTACAGTCAACCGCTATTGTAATCAAAACCTTCTCCTTTCCAGTCACCCTTGCATCAGCATATTGCCCTCCTAACAGATCCATATCCAAAGTCCAGTTCAGTTCTCTCCTCAACTCCTTAGGTAATCATTTCATCCTGGGTGCAGACTTAAATGCCAAGCATCAAGTTTGGGGTTCAACAACCACGAATTCTCGTGACAGAACATTTCTGTCTGCACTCAATACCCAACGTTTCAGTCTCCTTCCACCCAACTCACCAACCTACTGGCCCACTGATCCTAACCGCAATCCTGATATCCTTGATTTTTTCATCCACAGTGGTTTAGGTCCCCTCAATAATTCCCTTACCCGTCTTGACGAACTTTCCTCAGATCATAGTCCATTATTACTCCAATTATCTCCAGCTCCTATTCCTTAGTCTTCTCCACCGTCCTTCATCAGAGGCCCAGTTAACTGGAAACTCTTTCACCAAATCCTTTCCGATAAAATTTACCTCAGAATAACCCTAAAAACCCCAGATGACCTTGACAATGCCGTACACCTTTTCACCACCACTATCCAACAAGCAATCTGGACTGCTTCCTCTCCAAACCACTCCTCAAGAACTCCCAAGAAAAATAAGTTACCTCAACACCTCATAGACCTAATCCATACCAAACGCAGCGCCAGATTATTATGGCAGCGTACTAGACACCCCATCGATCGTAGCTCCTATAATTTTTACAGTAAACAATTAAAGTAGGAATGGGCCACATTCAAATCCCATTCCTTCAACTCCAACCTTACTTCCCTCTCTGTTCATGACAATTCCCTATGGAAGATCACCAACAAAATCCTAAATTCCCATCATATTTCCCATCCCCTCCGTAGAAGCGATGGCTCCTAGGCAGCGTCTAATGAAGATAAAGCTGAGGAATTTGCAAGATACCTCTCCAGAACATTTACCTCTCATCCATAATCCAACCTCACCCATACCACAACAGTAGAAGAATTCCTTACATCACCCATTCCACTTTCCTTACCCCCTAAAGTAATTAATCCTACTGAGGTCAAACATCACTTACAAAAACTTCCTCTCCGTAAATCTCCTGGATACGACCTCCTTACCCCTCAAATCCTTCGACAACTCCCTCCTAAAGCTGTTATATTTCTGACTTATTTATACAATACCATCCTTAGAACCACCCACTTTCCTCTTTTGTGGAAACATTCCACTATTATCCTGTTTCCGAAACCAGGCAAATCTCCCAACACCCCTACGTCCTACAGACCAATTAGCCTACTTCCAATCCTCTCCAAAATCTTTGAAAAGATCCTCCTGAAACGAATCCTACCTTTTACAGAATCCCAAGGTGCTTTTCTGGACATAGCTTTTGACCGGGTATGGCACGCCGGGCTTCTTTCCAAGCTAAAAACCTATCTACCTCAGTCCTTGTACCTAATCCTCCGCTCCTACCTCTCTGATCGTACCTTTCGGGTTCGCTGTGGTTCAGAATTTTCCGACTCCTACCCAGTTGAAGCCGGTGTTCCTCAATGTAGCGTCTTGGGCCCCGTCCTTATATCCTTTTTACCGCCGATATCCCTATCCATCACAATACCTTCCTTGCAACATTTGCTGATGACACCACCATCCTATCATCCAACTCAGATCCAGAAATAGCATCTTTAAATCTTCAAAGCCACCTCTCCATGATTGAGCACTGGTGTAATAAATGGCGCATCAAAGTATACGAATCCAAATGCAAAAACATTACCTTCACACTCCGCCGCAGATCCTGTCCATCAGTCCGGTATCTTGGCTTTATCTTAGAACGAAGACTAACGTGGAACCCACATACTAGACTTAAAATACAAGAACATAACCGACGATACGGCCAATTATACAGACTACTGACCAGAAAATCTCAACTTTCAATTGACAACAAATTACTGATCTACAAGACAATCCTGAAACCCATTTGGACCTACGGACTTGAACTTTGGGGGACAGCAAAGTTCTCTAACATCAAATGCATCCAATCCTTTCAATCCAAAGTCCTCCGAACAATAGTCGATGCTCCGTTCTATAACCAACAAAACCCTACATCATGACCTTAATATCCCATTTGTCCTTGACCTTATCCCTGCAAAATTTTCAAAATTCCATCAGAACCTTATTAATCATCCAAATCCCCTAGCCCAATCCCTATCTAGTTCCACTCATCCCTACAACCCTCCTCGAAGATTGAAGCGGCAGTGGCCCAGAGATCTTTTATAGTATTTATTTTGGAGTTCTGGCAATGGCCAGATTCTCCACTCAAGACATGAGTGTATGTGGCTAAAGCGCTCTCGCTCAAACTCCACCGGCTTTAGCACCGGTGAGGAGGTTGAGAGACTAGCGCAGGGATTTGGGTTCCCCGCCTGATTGTATATAGGTATGATTGTATTTTTATGTTTTTAATTTACTTATATTAAGGTTTTTTTATTGTATATAGTTTTTATTTATTATTATTTAGTTATTGTTCTACTTTGTTAATTTTATTTTTTTTTTTTTTGTATATACGGTGTAAATGTGTTCATTTATCAATATAATTATTGTCCCTGTGACAGAATATTGGTGTCCTAAGGAGTTGAAAAGAGAACTGAACTGGATATCGGATATGGATCTATTAGTAGGGCAATATGCTGATGTTATGGTGACGGGAAAGGAGAAAGTTTTAATTACGATAGCGGTGGATTGTAGGAAATCTTGTGTCGGTAATGGGATCTGGTGATGGGAAAGGGAGTGGTGTACAATAACAGCATTACCGGCACGTGCTTTACCGTCAGGATGGTCAGTACGCTATGTTATGTATTGAGGTATTTTTAAATGCTGTTTTCTGGTCAGTCGTGTTTCCGTAATTAGTTCTACGTCGATGTTGAGAAAGTTTTGATTACGATAGCGGTGGATTGTAGGTAATCTTGTGTTGGTGATGGGAGCTGGTGATGAGAAAGTGAGTGGTGTACAATAACAGCAGTACCGGCATGTGCTTTACCGTCAGGATGGCCAGTACGCTATGTTATGTATTGAGGTATTTTTAAATGCTGTTTTCTGGTCAGTCGTGTTTCCGTAATTAGTTCTACGTCGATGTTGAGTAATTTTTGATTACAATAGCGGTGGATTGTAGGAAATGTTGTGATAGTAATGGGAGCTGGTTATGAGAAAGGGAGTGGTGTACAATAACAGCATTACCGGCATGTGCTTTACCGTCAGGATGGTCAGTACGCTATGTTATGTATTGAGGTATTTTTAAATGCAGTTTTCTGGTCAGTCGTGTTTCCGCAATTAGTTCTACGTCGATGTTGAGTAATTTTTGATTACGATAGCGGTGGATTGTAGGAAATGTTGTGTTAGTAAGGGGAGCTGGTTATGAGAAAGGGAGTGGTGTACAATAACAGCAGTACCGGCATGTGCTTTACCGTCAGGATGGTCAGTACGCTTTGTTATGTATTGAGATATTTTTAAATGCTGTTTTCTGGTCAGTCGTGTTTCCGTTATTAGTTCTACGTCGATGTTGAGAAAGTTTTGATTACGATAGCGGTGGATTGTAGGTAATCTTGTGTTGGTGATGGGAGCTGGTGATGAGAAAGTGAGTGGTGTACAATAACAGCAGTACCGGCATGTGCTTTACCGTCAGGATGGCCAGTACGCTATGTTATGTATTGAGGTATTTTTAAATACTGTTTTCTGGTCAGTCGTGTTTCCGTAATTAGTTCTACGTCGATGATGAGTAATTTTTGATTACGATAGCGCTGGATTGTAGGAAATGTTGTGATAGTAATGGGAGCTGGTTATGAGAAAGGGAGTGGTGTACAATAACAGCAGTACCGGCATGTGCTTTACCGTCAGGATGGTCAGTACGCTATGTTATGTATTGAGGTATTTTTAAATGCTGTTTTCTGGTCAGTCGTGTTTCCGTAATTAGTTCTACGTCGATGTTGAGTAATTTTTGATTACGATAGCGGTGGATTGTAGGAAATGTTGTGTTAGTAATGGGAGCTGGTTATGAGAAAGGGAGTGGTGTACAATAACAGCAGTACCGGCATGTGCTTTACCGTCATGATGGTCAGTACGCTTTGTTATGTATTGAGATATTTTTAAATGCTGTTTTCTGGTCAGTCGTGTTTCCGTTATTAGTTCTACGTCGATGTTCTTGTCCAGTAATAAAGCTGCTAGTTCTTCAACGTGATTTCTAACACCATTCGCATTCCAAAGGAGAATGGATAAAGGTTTTGTTATGTGAATCATCAAGGATTTTTTAAAGGAGGGATGAGATGAGATACGAGATTTGTGAGGAGTGATATGAGTGGAGTAACTAAGGATTAGAAATCAGTGAGGAAAGATGCCAACAAGCTAGTGAGATCTGTTGCATTTGAAGACGGAGGGATATGATGAATTTGTTGTTGATGGTTAGGTATATTAGGGTCAACCGGATTTTGAGGTTGGGGTTGATGTTGTTGTTGCAGCAGGACTTGACAGTTATTGGTTGACTTCTTACCACAAAGTAGCTGGGAAAATGATACCCTATTGTTTACTAATCTAGAAGGCTTTCTCTCTCTTCTTGGTCTTCCTGCTTCATCTTGAATCCAGTTTTTATGGTGTCTGGATTTGAGATTCTTGTAAATTTGGCATCCTTTGTAGTTGGCCGGTTGTCCCTCCAGGCATAGTGCACACACTGCAGGATCTTGTATCGGTTTGGGGCACTCCCACAGATTTGTACTGTTCATCGCATTCCAGCTAACGCGGCAGATGGTGACAATTAGTTTTCGTGTGGCCATACGCCTGACAATTATGGCACTGCACGATTTCTCTCTTCGGGTATTGGGTTTCTCAACTTTCACCATTGTGTAATATAATCTTGTGATATCGTATATTTTCTCAATACCAGGTGATGACTCTAGATGCACGAAAAATGAAGGTAGTGGAACTTTATTTTTTACTCCAGGCTGCTCCTTATTCTCCTTCAGAACGTTGGTTACCTGACTTATTTTGAAACCAAGCGCCGCTAGTTCTTCTTTTATCACTTCAGTTGGGGTTGAGGAGTGTAAATTTCTTATTACTACTCGTAACGATCTCTCCTGCCTGAGCTGGTACGTTTGAAAATTCGTATACGTTTTTGAGAGGTACTTCACTATTATTCGGTAGGTTTCGGCAGTATCTGGTGTTATTTTTGTATCGTTGGTATTGTTAAGGCATGAATAACTGCCAGAGCAGATTTCATATAGTTGGATGCAGAACAACTGGAATTTTGAATATTTTTCACAACTATCGGAGGAAGCCTTGGTTCTGTGGGTATAGCAGCAGACTCCATTACGTCTCGGTCATTTTTAAGCACTTGGTAGAGGTTTGGAGTAAAGAAAGGGGATTCTTCGATTATTTCTTGCAAAGAAGTTCCTGGTGTTGACTTTTGTTGTTGGAAATGTTTATCGTAGTCAGCGGCGAGTTTTTTGTTTGGCTGGTGAACTAATTCCGTCTGAACGAGTCCACTTGGGCTCCTTACTGGACATCACTTGGTGCTATACCGCATACCATAAGGGAAGAAAGAAAGAAAGAAGGAAAGGAATAAAAAAAAAAAAAAATATATATCAAACATCAATATCAACTGCTCTGATGTATACGTGAAATGTATTCTATGAAAAATCTGAGAGATTCCGCTGAAAAATAGTAAAATACTGAGAGACCAGTTGAGAGCACAGCCTTCCAATCAACTGATCCACTGCCATCTGATTGTTAAATTAATATTTTATCATCTAATAGTATTAATACAGTCTTTTTTATGAGCTAATAATTAATTTTTCTCCGCTTACCCTACATTTACTTGTCTCCTTCAAGGAGCTTGCCTGAGTTCAATATTATTTAATTTATTTATTATTGATAAATTTGCTAAAATAAAAAATATTAATATAACCCGTTTTGCTAATGATACTGGGTTATTATCTACCTAATACCGAACCATAATCAATAGATTAAGAGAAAAAAATAAGTAAACATCTAAATACCTCACAAACTGTGGATTACAACTCAACAGAAACAAAACTGAAATGATAATTTTTGTAAAATGATGAAATATATTTTCCCCAAACATAATCTTGAAATGGTAATAAAATAGATAATAATACAAAACCCAGATTCGCATATACAAACATAAATGAACTATACATATACTGTGCTTTAAACATCACCGAAGCATTGCCTGTTTTTTATTTTATTGTCAAAATAGAATTAGGTTATTTAATGCTCATTTTTTACCAACAAATAAAATGTATTTTATAATTAATACATTTTAAAAACAAAATTTACTGTATGAAGGTGTATTCTGAAGAAATTATTTTATAACTAAAATATATATGGTATCGAAAAATATCTTGAACTTACCATCAGTGCTAGTTTTATAGCTTCCTAAGTGATGCTGAGGAATTTGATCTAGTTTTTCTTTCAGGAGTTTTGTTCTTTTGTTGCAGAAGTTGAACACTAAAATAAAAAAATAAAAAAATTACAGAGCGAACATTTCATGTGACTGTTTTAATTTCATAATTGTATATATTAAGCAAAATATATTATCTATAAGAGAATAATGTTAGGCATTTATTCTTCATTTTAATGCCACAGAATTTTTCTGTAGTAATTAGAATGAAGTAATTAGCTTATTACTACCATCAACCTGCTATGTATTAGACTCTCTTATAATAATTAATATTACAAATAAGAATTAAGAGTTTAGACCTTCTTAAGAGTTCCGTCCATGGTTTGGTTCATTTTAGCCTCCGCCATTCTCAGCTTCTTTCTGGTACACCATTCTCCTACTTTACTGGCACTCCTCTCTGCTTCTATCACAAACCTAGCTCTGCTATCTGCTGTGACTATCACAGCCAGACCGTCCATGTACGCAGTGGCTCTGAATCCCTCCGCTTCTAGATCTTCAAGTAGTTGATCAAACAGTATCCATAGCGCCGATCCATGCACCGAGCCCTGACGGCAACCTCTCTCTATCTCTCTTTCCTGTATTCCGGTTGCTGGGCGCCTCGAACTCTTGCAGCCGCTGGAGTACACTGGGCCACCATGCACTGTCAAAGGCAGATGATATATAGAAAGAAATCATCATATCGTATTTTTCTGTCCTCTCGTCTACGTCTAAACGCACCTGCATTAACGCATCTCTCTGCTCTCACCTTTTTAGTGCCCTACTACCGTGAGTTGCTCGCTGCTTGGAAAACTGATCTCAGTGATGTTAATATTAGATGCTCCAGTACTATACTGAGCACCGGGAGGAGACATATGGGTCTGTATGCTTTAGGCTGTTCTTTAGATGAGCTACTCTATCAATATTACTAATGTCCTCAATTGTGACAAAATGTATCATTACTCCACAAAGAATCGTTTGTTGCATATTTTTTTTCTATGTTATAATAAGCCAAAAAATCTATTTCTTATAGCTTGAGGAAACATTCATGTGCATATTTTTACTTATATTCATTGTTGCAGAAATTACCTAATTGTAGAAGAAATGAAACAATAATATCATCAATTGAAAGATGTAATAAAAATAATAGCCAATGTATTGTCAGTGAGCTAATAAGGGATGGAGCGTGATATCCTTTTGATACAAAGTAAATCCCTTTAATTTAAAAAGGAAACCAACGTCACCATCTAGTTCCAATCCATCTGTTTTTCAGTCGATTTGGTGGCCGAAGATGCGAGATATCATAATGTGTGTCACAAAAAGTTATATCACATTTTAGTATCAGGTCGAAGAAGAGGGTTCCGACCTGCTACACAGGTGGAAGCGGCCTTCGAGGTAATTTATTGATACTTTATCGATTATAGTGAAGAATGTATATTCTCATTGGAGGAATTAATAAGTATGACTAATGGAGGCTTAATTTCTGTCGATCACACAAGAATATCATGCAATAATTTATTTATTATTGATATTATGTTTACATTATTGATATTACATTATTTATTTTATGTTTGTTAAAATAAAAAAATATTAATATAACCCGTTTTGCTAATGAATCGAATAATATCTTGAACTTACCATCAGTGCTAGTTTTATAGCTTCCCAAGTGATGCTGAGGAATTTGATTTAGTTTTTCTTTTAGGAGTTTTGTTCTTTTGTTGCATAAGTTGAGCACTAAAATAAAAAAAATTACAGAGCGAACATTTCTTGTGACTGTTATAATTTCATAATTGTATATATTAAGCAAAATATATTATCTATAAGAGAATAATGTTAGGCATTTATTCTTCATTTTAATGCCACAGAATTTTTCTGAATGTTAGAAAAAATTGTATTGAAGCACAAATATTGACTTCACTAAGAACTCCAGAAGTAATTAGCTTATTACTACCATCAACCTGCTATGTATTAGACTCTCCTATAATAATTAATATTACAAATAAGAATTAAGTCTTCATTAATATCAATCAAGGCACTGCTGGATGAGCACATAAATGCAAGCATTCTAGAGTAATTTGTTTGGATTAGATTCCCATCTGGGTCAGTTAATATTCATTTCCAGAGTTTCAGAGAAATATTCCTGATATTAATAATCTGGTCAGGTGGGAGTGGCAACTTCTAGATAAGATTAAAAGATCCACTTGCTGGGCTATATCCTACAATAATTATCAGTACCAGTAATTAATATTAATATTTCCTTTTCTTCCAAAAAGAACGTTGTGGTTTTCATTCATATCAAGATATCACAAAATTTCAAAAATTAACATTAATCCGATATGATTCTAAACAGGAATAGTTGTTGAGAATAAATAAAAAAAAGTATATATTATAAGGTTAATAAGTTATTAGCAATCTTTCTATTGTTACCATCACTATTATTTTCAGCTGCACCTTTATTTCCTCCTGCTTGCGATTTTATAAATTTATCCGTCTTTGAAGATTTTGATTTTTCTGATAAAATCGATTTTTTAGATGAATCTTCTGATTTCTCTTTAGGGTCACTGTTTACGATAATGACTGCAAACCAAGAAGTTATGTTACTTAATGTAAGCAAGAATATAATTATTGCAGATGTGCTAATCTTACTTAAGAATATAGGTAATACTGATTATAAGAATAGTTAGTGTAAGCCACTAGCGCATCTAGGATTTAATTTGTTTTTTTTGGGAGGGGGGCTTCAACCCGAAAGCTTGTTTTTCATAAAAATAACGATAATTACTTTGGAAAAAAAGAAAGAAACTAACTATCTATATGAAATGGTGTTTAAGTGATTCCTAAAGTCCTTTTAAATGTAATTACAATACTTTAAGAGATAATTTTTGAATATTTTGTTCCGTCAAACATGGTAATATTTTATCATTTTGGGGGGGGGAGAGGCCTCAGCCCCAAAGACCCTCCCTCTCCCCTCATAGATCCGCTCGTGGTCTAAGCATATTATGAATATACACTGATGGACAAAATTAAAGGATCACCTAAAAAGTTTGTTAGTACCAAGTAATAATTCCTTGGCAGGGTTGCCCATTCTTCCTAAATGCGATGGACCAAGAACCTACTCCCCATTTCCAAAATATTTCATTTCTTGCCTATTCTTAAAAACATTTTCTACGCTTTTTGGTGTAGGCCGTACAAGTGAGGAGTATTGACTGCTTATTTCGCAGGAAATGTCTGTTGTCGTCGGTTTTTACCACAAAACTCAAAATCTATGCATCTCTCAAAGAAATTAATTATAATCAATTCTAAAGATTGATTGTACATTTCATTTTCTATGTACCTTATGTAAATACATTAATATGTGAGAGGGTTAAGCAGCTGTTAAGCGCACGGCATCGAAGCAGTAAAACCAACTGTTTGATTTTTTTTCTCATCTAACTGGCCTCATTTCATGACATTGACGCGTCAGTTTTTAAAACGCAACCGGGTGCATCGCCAGTCAAGTCGAATCTCTTTTAGAGACATATTCTTTACATCATATACAAATTTCAGCCGCATTTTCTTCCGTTAAATGAATTGTCAAATAAGCCTCTTTAATTAAATTTTAATTTAAAGATGTCCACTAGTTTAAAAAAAAAAATTACACTAGTTATATAATAGTTATCCATAGTCATTCCTGTTAAAAAATATCCACATTTATTTAATATAGCATCCGGAAAACTCCATAGAGTTAACAGTAGTTTTTTATCTTCGTTGATATTAACAAAAGTTGTAATAAAGTGCCCGTTATAAAAACAGCTGAGTGAAATTAGTGGGGCAGTTTACAGCAAAGATAAAATACCTGTGGTTCAGTGGTGGTAAAATTCGATGCAGTCAGACGGATATCCGGCGGTAGTTATAGGGAAATCTAGCGACTTGGAAGTTTTTATATGGATTTTTTATGTAAGTCTCCCAAAATTTGTATCAATTTTAGTCTTTCCTATCAAAACTATTTTAATTTTAATTTTCGTAAGTTACCTTCTTCATTATCGTTTTAAAGAGCTGGAATTTCATTTGACTGAATGTTTTTTCTTTATAATTTATTGTAACCAAAGCCATCTTTATACTTTTTCACATCATAAATTAATTCTTTATTTTTATTTTTATTCGAGTTATTATGATTTTAACTCTTTCTTTTCAAAGTTTATTTTATGTTTATATTTTCTTTTCTGTTGCAAAAATGAATATTTTGTTAAAAAACTGTTAGATCATACGCTCCTTCCTCGATCCTTTTCTCCGCAACCCTCATTCCCAACATCTCAGTTATGACTAATGTCCTAAATTTCTGTTACGTCAATGCACAATTCCTTAATGTCCAGTTTGATGAATTCCAAAAATATTTCCTCGATAATTTTTACCACATAACAGCAGTATCTGAAACCTGGCTGAAGTCTTTTATTCCTTCCTCAAAAATTTTCCTCCTCAATTACTCTTTCAACGTGATGACAGATCTGATCGCACGGGAGGTGGCGTCGGACTATTTGTACATAATAGTCTCAAGGCCAAAATCCTCTAACAGTCTCCTTTTCATAACCTCCCTCACGTTGAATATTTATATGTTGAAATAAATATTGTATGTTGTTGTCTACCACCCTCTTCGTGTTCTATTTGACGAACTCTTTGAATCCTCCCTTGTCTCCCGACAAATACTATCTCAATGACCTAATATTTTCTCTCAATCTTTATCTTGTCCCTTATTCTCCCACTCAACACATTCAGTTCTCTGACACCTGGTTAGGCCTCCATATCTTTGACTCACGGCTTAAAATTCTTTCCTCCCCTCAACACCCTATACCCTTTCTATCATCACACGACCTGATTTACATTTAACCCCTGATAAAACATTTACTCCCAAAATAAAGTCATATCGCAATTTAAACCTCCTTTCATATGAATCCCTTCAACCTGGCCATGATTCTGTCCAACGGGATACCATATTTTCCTATACCTCCATTGACCCTATGATAGCCACCCTTACCTCAAACCTACAATCCATATTAGACATCCATGCTCCTCTGACATCCAGATTCTTACGTCGTCAGACTGCTCCTTGGCTGACTCCTGAAATAAAGTGAATGATAAAGAGAAGGGCTGCAGCAACACGCAAATGCCGTCAAACCCGTTTATCTGCTGATTATGCGTATTTCAAACAACTTCGCAATGCAACCCAATCCACAATCCGACTCCCTAAATCCAACTGCTTTCATAATACCCTTTCCAATAATCCCGATTCCAAATAAAAATGGCAATTAAATCTATTCCTACACGATTTCAATAACCTCATTTTCCTCCCTGTGACTCCAGATGATCTTAATGACAATTTCTTATCTTTTGCTTCTAATCCATCTCCTACTCATGATATTGAACACCACAACTTCAATCCTGAAAACTTCTTTTTTTCCCATGTGTTCTACGACGAAGTACGTTCCACTATCCTCAAATCCCACACCAATGATTATGGTCCTGACAATATTCCAGTAAAAATAATAAAATCAAGCCTTCCTACCCTTATTCCAGTACTTTATCATATCTATAACTTTTCATTGCAAAAATTCCATATTTCCCTCTTCCTAGAAAACTGTACTATTCCGACCTTTGAGTAAAACATCTAACCTTTACTCACAGAACGACTTCCGTCCTATTTCTCTTCTTTCCAACCTCTCAAAACCACTGGAACGCCTTGTCCAAAATCAACTTTCCAACTTCCTAGAAGAACGTTCCCTCATCAATCCATTCCAATCTGGCTTCAGACCTGGCTATTCAACGCAATCTACCCTCCTTAAAATAACTCATGACCTCCAAAACTCCATTGAACACCAAAACCTTAATATACTCATCCTTCTAGATTTCTCCAAAGCGTTTGATACAGTTGACCATAACATTCTTCTTACCAAATTGCAAAATCTTCCTCTATCCAACAGTCAAATCCTTCCTTTCCGATCGATCCCAGTATGTAGTCGTCCCAGATCAGCTTCCTTCAAAGACACTTCCTCTATCCGGTGGTGTCTCTCAGGGTTCCTCCTTTTCTCCTACTCTGTTTGCTATTTACATTAATGACCTTCCCCTCCTGATCCATCACTCCCAATACCACATCTATGCTGACGATTTCTAAATATACCTGCCTTTCCTCCCATCTTACCTATTAGCCGCCAAAAAAAAAAAGCTTCAAGAAGATTTAAATAGAATATATGAATGGGTAAGAGCTAATAAGCTGAAGTTGAATGCGGAAAAGACCAAGGCAATCCTAATAGGCTCCAATCACTTCCTCAAATCTAACTTTCCAGCCCTGTTCTTACATGATAATCCCATTAAATTTTATCCCACCATCAAAAACCTTGGAATAATCTTTGATCAAACCCTTTCCTGGAAAATGTGTGCAATATCTCCCGACGTACCTTTTCCACCCCAAAACACTTAAATAGTCCTTTTTCCTTTTGAATTCCGTAGACTCCTGGTCACCTCCTTAATATTCCCCCCCTTCGACTATTGCTGCACGGTATGTGGAGGCACTCTGGAAATCTCGTGGTGAAACTAAAACGTTTGATAAATTGCTTTGCACGTTTCATCTTCGGGATCCCAAGAGACGCCAACGTTTCCTGTGTCTATGAAGAGTTGAAGTGGCTTTATCCTTCCTACCGCCGTAAGTATTTCCTGGAATCCTTCCTCTTCCAAGTAATTCACTACCGTCGTTCTCATACATCGCCGAGCTGCTTCAATTTAAATCCTCTGTCCACTCCCGCAATACCCGTTCCCGGTCTTCAGATTTATATAAAATGGCCGACCGAACCGCTGCTTTCGATAAATCTTTTATTATTCGATCCTCTTCCCTAAATCTTTTATTATTCCATCCTTCAACACATCCGTCAATCCAAAACCCTTCCTACCTTTAAATCCCAACTGTTTAATCATTTCTTATTCATCCAGTCCTCATAAAATTACAAATAGTTACTAATGTAAATGTATATACTCATAAATTATTAGATCGTTCTTTATTATTTTCACGTCACGTTTATTTTCAATTTTTATTTTGTTATTACTTGATGTAAAATAGAAAGTATCTTATATTTTTTCTTATAATTTTTTTTTATTTATTTATTTATTTTTTACTATTTAATCAAACTATATTCTTGTGTATGTATCTCTGAGGCTCCTTAGCCCACGTATTTTTCTCTCTGTATCATTCTAAAGGGACTCGTCCCAGAATAAATAAAGCATTATTATTACTATTATTATTATTATTCAACTCCAAATTCAGCTATTATTGAAGAACTAAAATCTTTTGATTATGAGGCAGTAAATGTAACCGATGTATCATTACGATACAAAGACCCATTGTATATGTTTTTTGTGGATATCACAAAACAAACATTTAACGAAACGGGTCCGTTGGCCTTTGGAGTGCCAGTACTTCTCTTTCCTCTGCCGGGTGTTCTTCCCAAGTTGAAGTGCGTAGGGTCCATAATTTCCTTCCACCTTCTCACATACTCTTCGAAGTAAGGGTAGTTATCCTCCGCCATCAGTACTCGGCGATCTTCTACAAAATTTTATAACTGAATTTTCCTGTACAGCCAGGCTCGGTGTTGGTCCATTTTTACGCATGTAAGCATGACGTGTTCCCCTGTGTCAGAAACCTTGTATGTGGGGCACCGAGGGTCAATATTCCTTCCATGGTTATTCAATCTATCTCTAATCCCCTCCCCCTAACCCGTAAGGATTTGAGATCAGTTGTCAGGTTGGACCCACCTCGCTTCTAATCTTTAATAAACGGTTGTCCGCTACCTGTTCCAGTCCTCTAGTGAATCCTCCCTTAACAACGTCTTCCAATTCCCTGGTATTTATTCTGCCCTCCGCCGTAGTTTTTGCGGAAGTGGTCCAAGCCCGTGTCTCTTGACATCAAACTTAATGGCGTCTTCCCTCAGGGTGGAGTCTAGGGGCATTTTCCCAGTTAGAATCTGTACCGCTTCGTGAGAGACCGTTCTGTAGGCTTTTGTAATCCTAATAAGTGCCAGTCTTTTTTTCAGGATTCTCAGGCCCACGCCTTTATAAATAACTCTTATCGTTAAGTATTTAATTTCCCAGAAAGCACTCTCTACCCTCGATAGTTCGTTTAATGAGTGAGTCTCTAAAATATATGGGGTAAAATCAAACCCTCTCTTGAATCTGACTCCCAGGTACCTCACCTCCTCACATGCTCATACCCTTACTCCTCGCAGGTGCAGGTTTATTTGGTGAGCCCTGTCTGTTTTCCCTTTAAGAAGTAAGAAGGCCTGTTTAACAACACCCTCTTGTCCGGTGTCTAATATTTCCTCCGGGCTAAGATCCTCTTGTTCATTTAGACCTTCTTAAGAGTTCCGTCCATGGTTTGGTTCATTTTAGCCTCCGCCATTCTCAGCTTCTTTCTGGTACACCATTCTCCTACTTTACTGGCACTCCTCTCTGCCTCTATCACAAACCTAGCTCTGCTATCTGCTGTGACTATCACAGCCAGACCGTCCACGTACGCAGTGGCTCTGAATCCCTCCGCTTCTAGATCCTCAAGTAGTTGATCAAACAGTATCCATAGCGCCGATCCATACACCGAGCCCTGACGGCAACCTCTCTCTATCTCTCTTTGCTCATAATAGCTACCGCTCATCTTTACTCTTCTTTTACAGAGGTAGCTGCTCCCAAGGGAATACAGGTTGCTGGGCGCCTCGAACTCTTGCATCCGCTGGAGTACACTGGGCCACCATGCACTGTCAAAGGCAGATGATATATAGAAAGAAATCATCATATCGTATTTTTCTGTCCTCTCGTCTACGTCTAAACGCACCTGCATTAACGCATCTGTCTGCTCTCACCTTTTTAGTGCCCTTGTTCGCTGCTTGGAGAACTGATCTCAGTGATGTTAATATTAGATGCTCCAGTACTATACTGAGCACCGGGAGGAGACATATGGGTCTGTATGCTTTAGGCTGTTCTTTAGATGAGCTACTCTATCACTATTACTGATGTCCTCAATTGTGACAAAATGTATCATTACTCCACAAAGAATCGTTTGTTGCATATTTTTTTTCTATGTTATCATAAGCCAAAAAATCTATTTCTTATAGCTTGAGGAAACATTCATGTGCATATTTTTACTTGTATTCATTGTTGCAGAAAGTACCTAATTGTAGAAGAAATGAAACAACAATATCATCAATTGAAAGATGTAGTAAAAATAATAGCCAATGTATTGTCAGTGAGCGAATAAGGGATGGAGCGTGATATCCTTTTGATACAAAGTAAATCCCTTTAATTTAAAAAGGAAACCAACGTCACCATCTAGTTCCAATCCATCTGTTTTTCAGTCGATTTGGTGGCAGAAGATGCGAGATATCATAATGTGTGTCACAAAAAGTTATATCACATTTTAGTATCAGGTCGAAGAAGAGGGTTCCGACCCGCTACACAGGTGGAAGCGGCCTTCGAGGTAATTTATTGATACTTTATCGATTATAGTGAATAATGTCAATTCTCATTGGAGGAATTAATAAGTAAGACTAATGGAGACTTAATTTCTGACACAATGACAGTCAAACAACATCTTTTGAAACAGTTCGGAGAATATTTAGCCTAGACTGACAATAAGTCATCAGTCGTTTCCTTTATAAATGTTGATTACTAAGTACCCAACGATAGTTGATATGATAACAAAAAGGTAGACAGACATCCATAGAGAAAAACTCCGCATTGTTAAAGCTGCTGCTGATATAGGTTTGGAAGAGATTATCCTCATGAATATCGAATATCCTCCATCAGATATTTTTTTGTTTAATGTGGATACTGACATTCCGATACTGAATTACTTTAGTTGCAAATAATTAAATTATTTTTTTTTTTGCAATTTTAGGTTAAATAACTGGCCAGAAAAGTTACATATCTGGCATTGCATGCTTTTTCAGTTTCGCAAGGGTAGTAAATAAACAGTTGCAACCAATTATATTTGAGATGTTTATCTAAATGCATTTTTTATTTGTTCAAAATTGATTTTTCATGTTCAAATCCGGTGGTAAAGATCTTTCCGATTAGTATCAGGAAGAACGTTAGATAATAACTTCTTAAGGCCAGAAGTTGAAGCAAATCAGGAATTGTCAAACAGACTTAACCAACCTTGGTCGATCACACAAGAATATCATGCAATAATTTATTTATTATTGATATTATGTTTACATTATTGATATTAAATTATTTATTTTATGTTTGTTAAAATAAAAAAATATTAATATAACCCGTTTTGCTAATGATACTGGGTTGTGTTTTTCCTAATACCGAACTGACACCATAATCAATAGATTAAGAGAAAAAAATAAGTAAACATCTAAATACCTTACAAAATGTGGATTACAACTCAACAGAAACAAAACTGAAATGATCATTTGTGTAAAATGATAAAATATATATTTTTCCCAAACATAATCTTGGAATGGTAATAAAATAGATATTAATACAAAAACAAGATCCGCATATACAATCATAAATGAACTATACATATACTGTGCTTTAAACATCACCGAAGTATTGGCTGTATTTTATTTTATTGTCAAAATAGAGTTAGGTTATTTAATGCTCATTTTTTACCAACAAATAAAATGTATTTTATAATTAATACATTTTAAAAACAAAATTTACTGTATGAAGGTGTATTCTGAAGAAATTATTTTATAACTAAAAAATATATGGTATCGAATAATATCTTGAACTTACCATCAGTGCTGGTTTTATAGCTTCCCAAGTGATGCTGAGGAATTTGATCTAGTTTTTCTTTTAGGAGTTTTGTTCTTTTGTTGCATAAGTTGAGCACTAAAATAAAAAAAAATACAGAGCGAACATTTCTTGTGACTGTTATAATTTCATAATTGTATATATTAAGCAAAATATATTATCTATAAGAGAATAATGTTAGGCATTTATTCTTCATTTTAATGCCACAGAATTTTTCTGAATGTTAGAAAAAATTTTATTGAAGCACAAATATTGACTTCACTAAGAACTCTAGAAGTAATTATCTTTTTATTACCATCAACCTGCTATGCATGAGACTCTCTTATAATAATTAATATTACAAATAAGAATTAAGTATTCATTAATATCAATCAAGGCACTGCTGGATGAGCACATCAATGCAAACATACTAGAGTAACCGGTTTGGGTTAGATTCCCATCTGGGTCAGTTAATATTCATTTCCAGAGGTTCAGAGAAATATTCCTGATATTAATAATCTGGTCAGGTGGGAGTGGCAACTTCTAGATAAGATTAAAAGATCCACTTGCTGGGCTTGGAAAAATGAATGAGAAAATTGGAGACCAATGGAAAGAGACCAGGTTTTGATTCTATTAACAGCGTCCTGTAGTTTGTTTTGTATAGTGTCAATGTTGCCAGATCGGCAGAGAATGGCTAGATCATCCGCGAATAGAAGCGGTTTAACACCTCTTAGCAAGTTAAGGCCCAAGTCATTTATCGCCAGACAGAACAGAGTTGGGCTCAGGACACAACCTTGAGGGACACCGTTGAACTGATGGTGGTTCTCGGATAATTCTCCTCCTACCTGAACTCTAAAGCGTTGGTGCGTTAGAAATCGTTTAACATAATTGTACATTCGGCCTCTAATTCCTACATATGATAATTTATTGAGGATAATGTAGTGATTTATATTATCAAAAGCTTTTTTCATATCGTAAAATATGGCTATTGTCTGTTGTGCGTTGATAAAAGTATATTGAGTTTCGGCTTCTAATGCAACCAAATGATCCAATGTGCATCGATTCTTACGGAATCCCGATTGAAAGGGTTGAATTAAATTTTTGTTCTCTATTATCCACATTAATCTTTTATTAATCATCCGCTCCATTAATTTACTTAAGCAGCTTGTGAGAAATATAGGGCGATAGCTGGTTGGTAAACGTTTGTCATTTTCGCTTTTGAGTATTGTAATGACCACTGAATCACGCCATTTATTCGGGAACTGTCCAGTGGACCAGACATGATTATAATAACCGAATAACCATTCCAGTGTATTACCTGGGAGTTTCTTTATCATGTCATAGTGGACCAGGTCAGGACCAGGGGTTGAGCCTTTAACAGTTCTTAATGTGTTTTTGAGTTCCCACATTGAAAATGGGAGGTTGTAACATAATAATTCATCATCAATTGTCCTCTCAGGGTCCGTGTATTCCGAGCTTGTATTATTTCTTCCGGAGCTATATATTTCAGAAAAAAAAGTTGCAAATGTTTTTGAGACTGATAGAGGATTGTCAAACAGTAGTCCATTGACCAAAATAGTATAGCGAGAGGAATATGAGGTTTTAGTGAATTTACGGATTTTGTTCCAAACGTCAGTTGATGTGGCTGAGGAATTAATGGAGCTTATAAATTTTTTCCAGGATTCGGTCTTAGACTGATTAATTATTTTTCTACATATAGCACGCTGTCTTTTATATTCCATTAAATTTTGAGAGGTCATAGATTTCTAGAATTTTTTGTAGGCTTTACGGCGATCTTTAATGGCTTCCTTGCAAACATTGTTAAACCATGGGACAAGCGGTCTTCTTGGTGAGCCTGAGGTCATTGGTATAGATGCTTTAGCCGCTTCTATGATCGTATTCGTGATAGTTTGACAGCCTTTATCGACATTCATTTAATACGGGAGAGTTTAAGGTGGCGAGGCTAACGAAGAAAATAAGGTCCAGTCAGCTCTATTTAGAACAAATCTCGGTTTTACTCGGGTGGGATTCGTTATTTTGAATTTTATCAGTATTGGAAAATGGTCACTACTATATAAATCGGGCAAAATCGTCCAATTTGTAATGGCAAATAACGAGGGATCGCAGAGTGATAAATCAAGAGTCGAGAAAGTGCCATAGCTTGAGCTGGGAAATGTAGGTTCTCCGGTGTTGATTAGAAGAAGATTAGAAGCATCTAAAAAAATTTCTATAACTTTACCTCGCGTGTTAATGTTTTGGGAGCCCCATAAAGGGTTGTGACCGTTCAGATCCCCAATAAAAAGAACTGGACGAGGCATTTGGTTATAGATATCTAGGAGTTGTTGTGTATCTATGGTACGGTCTTGTGGAAGGTATATATTACAGATGGAAAATGAAAAATCTTTGTGAACTCTCGTTGCAACAACTTGACGATGAGAATTAATGTTGATTGATTCGGAATATATGGATTTATCTGTAGCTATTAAAACTCCGTGGTGACTGTGGTTTGGGTTCGGGCTGTCTTTTCTGTATATATCGACATTTTTTATAGAAAAATTGTCGTTGATTGTGAGGTGTGTCTCCTGTAGTGCAATGCAAAACGGGTCTATATCTTGGATTAGTATTTTTAAATCGTTAAAGTGAGTTTTTAAACCATTACAGTTCCATTGAAGTATCGACATGCTTAGGTATTATATATATATAGACATACACAACAATATACACATGTATACATACATACACACGCATATACACATATACACATCCACGCATATGCATACAAACACAGACACTCATACATATAGATATATGTTCCCGTACATACACATCCACACAACAAGTATAGAAATATATATATAGTTGAACATATACACATAAACACATAGAATATACAATATATACAAACATACATTCACACATCTACAGATGGGCGCTCGCGCGCACACATATACACACATACACACACATAATGCTTGTGTGATATTATATACCCACATACAAAGATGCAAATGTACATAGCAAAGAGAGCATGTAGAACTATATACATAAACATATATATCCGCACAGATATCAATATTTGCACATACAGATATATATATACAATAATACATAATAGGTAGACGTTAAAATTCGTATTCGTGCATATGCATAAAGTCATTCACATATGCATACACGCATCTATCAATATTCAAATAATAGAAATAAACGCATGCTATGTAGATAAATAGGTTAGTGAACATAGAGTGTTTCTTTATTATAGAAAAATTAGGTCTAGTTTTGTAGTAATAGAATAAGAATAACGTAGGATATTTGTTTATAATTGCGGCAGTGAGGGTTCTATAGGTTTTTATTGTTATGTCTGGCAGTAATAAGTAAATCCTTCGAGCGTTGTAAATAGCATTCATTGCTTTTATTTTTATTGCTGTAGTAGTGATATATATATTTATCACAATGAAAATACTTATATTTCCAATTTAAAATATATGTTAGGGCACGGATAGACATTATACAGGTTTGTTTTGAATGAAAAAAAATAAAATAAAAAAAGATATAAAAAATAAAAATAAAAATTTGTAATCGTATAGTGTTAGTGTTTCGTAAGTTATTAGGTTTTCTTTTTATTACGATTGTCCTGTTTTTTGTTATGTACGATGGTAAACTCTCCTTCCGGATCGCTATCTGAGTTTTGGTCAGAACCTACGATCACAAATGCGGCTTCTGATGTTTTTGAAGAACACGCGTCTTGAGAAAAAAGAGAAGGGAGAGGATCTGCCCGACTCCTAGAATTTGATCTGGACCTCCGAGGAGCTTTTGGGGCCGCTAGGGAGGCGGCTGGCGGCGGAAGAAGGGGGGTGGCCGGTGATGGCGGCAGGGAGACGGCCGGTGGTGGTGGGTGCTAAGGGGCCGGAGGTGGGATCACAGGAATGTTAGGGAGCGGGATTAGTGGTGGGGGAAGGGAGGGGGTAGGATTTGTTGTTGTTTGAGTATTTCTATTATTAGCTGAGTAAGTGTTATTAAATATGTTTTCCCCAAAGTTAAACAATGAATTTGTTTGAATGCCAATGTCTTTCTTTTCGATAGTGTTAGGATTTTGTTTTGTAATTTCAGCAAAAGATCTAGTAAACTGGGTTGGATTCTGTTCTTTATAAATTTTTTTTGCTTCGTTTAAAGATATTTTATTTATGATTTGGATAGTTTTTATTTCTTTTTGCATAATAAAAATTGGACATCGACGATCTAATGAGTTGTGATTTTGGGCACAATTACTACAGCAGGCTGGGCGCGTACATCTCACGTTATCTTCATGTTTTGGTTCCCCACATTGAATGCATTTGCTTTGTTGTTTACAGACATTTGAAGGGTGTCCAAAGTTTAGGCAGCTAAAACAGCGAAGGGGATTAGGAATATAATCTTGCACTTTAACCGTATGGAATCCTATCTTTATTGTCTCTGGAATTCTCGGTGTAAGAAAGGTCACGATATAAGAATTTGTCAATATCTCATTTCCATTTTTTTTTAATGCATAATATGTTTTTTATCACTGAAAACAATTCATTTTTAATTTCGTCTATCTCTAGGAATTGGAGATCGTAACATCGAATCACTCCTTTACTGTAATTTAAGGTATTGTGGGGGGAAACCTGTACAGGAAACTGGCCACCAACATTTTTACATTTTAATAGTTCTTCTGATTGTTTTCTGTTTTTTGTTTCAATAAGTAATGTACCATTTCTCAGCTTTTTCACATTTTTTAAGTCTCCTACTAAACCCGAAAGAAACTTATTAACTAAGAACGGGGATAGTTTTTCAAAATTTTGATCATCTGATCTTTCTATTATTAAGAACGATGGGCTAATTGGGATCGCACCATCCGTATTTTCGGCTTCAAATTTAAGACGACGCCGAGGTCGTTTTCGTTTAACCTTTTGGCTATTTAAATCTATGGGGTCCCCCATAGAAATATAAAATAAAACGTAATAAAAGAAAGTAATTAATAAAGAGAAAAAGAAGAAGAAAAAAAATGATAAAATGAAATAAAATAAATATATCATTATAGTTTATATTAAAAAAAAAATATATATATATATATATATCCTTAT